AGACAAGAGATCCAGCAAGAACACCAGATAGAGTCTCGACACCGAAGAAAATGCCTGCAATGAGGGGAGTGAGCATGACGAGGGCACCTGGAGGGATCATCTCCTTAATGGAAGCATCTGTGGAGATCTTGACACATGTCGCATAGTCTGGCTTTGCAGTGCCCTCCATAAGACCCGGGATCGTGTTGAACTGCCTCCGCACTTCCTCCACCATCTTCAGAGCAGCACTGCCCACACTCTTCATTGTCATTGCCGAGAACCAGTAAGGAAGCATGGCTCCCACAATCAGCCCTATGAATACCTTTGGAGTCAGCACGTCTACAGTCGTGATGCCCGCACGACTCACAAACGCGCCAAACAAGGCCAGGGACACCAGAGCAGCAGACCCGATTGCGAATCCCTGTACAAAAAATATAATTATCCACACTCTGTGTTGCATACTCCAAAACTCTTACATAAGTAGTTGAAAACAGTGGTGTGTTTGTTTATTAAATAATCCGTTCGAAATGAGTTTTTTTAGTTAAACATAGTTAATTTTGAAAAAGGTGGTATGGTTAGTTATTATTGGAATTTTAAAAATGTATTAAAATAATATTTAAAAATAAAATAATTAAAATTGATTTGATGTAAAAGTAGGAGTCTAGGAGAAATGATTGAAAATGATAGGTAGTTAGAATTATGTGAGTGGATGAATAGTGAATTAAAGTTGATGTGATGTGTAAGAATGATTGGTTTGTGTTATTTAATTATGTGAATAATATTAAGAATAGTGAGGTTGAGTTAAAGTTGAGTTAGATTTTGAGTATGAAATAAATGTGAGTAAATTAATTTGTAAACAAGCATACCCTTACATGCCCTAAGGCTGTGTTTGTTTACAAATAAATCCGTTCAAAATGAGTTTTTTCGATTAACCAGGTTGATTTTGATAAAAGTAGGATGATTAGTTGTTAATGGGATTTTGATTTTATACAACAACAACAACAACATAGCCTTTAGTCCAAAGCAAGTCGGGGTAGGCTAGAGATGAAACCCAAGAGAAACAATGGTAAGAGAAATACAAAAGGGCTCGAAACAAAAGGAAAAGGTTGAAACAAAAAGAGAAAAGAGCAAAAGTCACGGTTCTGGCACGTTGATTGCTAGCCTCCAAGCGCTCCTATCCACCGCTAAATCCTTGGAGATATTCCAATTTTTAAGGTCTCTCTTAACCGACTCTTCCCAAGTGAGTTTAGGCCGACCTCTACCTCGCTTTACATCTTTGACCCGCTGTAGAACTCCCCTACGCACCGGTGCATCAGGAGGCCTCCGTTGGACATGTCCGAACCACCTCAGCCGATGTTGGACCAATTTCTCCTCAATTGGAGCCACCCCGACCCAATTAGTTGTTAATGGGATTTTGATTTTATATTAAAATAAAATTTACAATAAATGTAAAAGTAGGAGATAAATGATGTGAAGTGATAGTTAGTTAAAATTATGTGAGTTGCATGATGATTTAAAGTTGATGTGATGTGTAAGAATAATTAATTTGTATTATTTAATTATATTGATAATATTGAGGATAGTGAGTTAGGTTAAAGTTGAATTAGATTTTGAGTATAAATTAAATGTGAATGAATTATTTTTTAAACAAACATGCTCTAAGTACCTTCCCAATAGCAGCAGTGGTATTGCCTGCAGCATCAAGTGCATCTGTCCTCTCTCGAATGGTGTGGCTCATGCCTGCCATCTCAGCAATACCGCCAGCATTGTCGCTGATGGGGCCATAAGCATCAATAGCCAAACCAGTTGCTATAGTGCTCAGCATTCCGAGGGCAGCCACAGCAATACCGTACATAGCAGCAAAACTAAAGCTTACGAAAATGCTAATTGCGATGGCGAAAATTGGGATGATAACTGATTTGTAGCCCAAAGCAAGTCCGAAAATCACGTTGGTAGCTGCACCCGTGCGGCATGAGTCCGCCACATCTTGCACAGGGCTGGACAACAATATTTTGCATTTCATATATTGTTATTCAAAAGAATAATGTTT